TCCCTTTTTTCCCCGACCGTTTCGCGAGATAATGACGATCTATGGTAGGAGAGCCGTTGCCTTCTCGCGGGTCACGACGACGCCGTGGTGTATCAAGGTGCGCGCGCTCGAGCGCGCGATAACACACAGTACATCACGTCAGATCAGAGCGCACGTCGGCGCGTTCCGCATAGGAAGTACACGCTGACTGTTTTATTACTCTCACTATCTAGTGTATTAGCCAACGCCGCGGGAGATTCGACTCATAAATGTTTGATGTCGGAGATTGGATTTTCCAGGAGGCGAGACGGCGATTCTGCTAAAGGGCAAATACGATAGCGGATCTTTCCGTAAAGGAGCAATTATCTCGCGCATCTGAGCGGCACAAAACATGATATTAGCAAGGCGCAAGAAGCAAGGGAGCGATAGCGCGCGCGCGATCGATGAGTTTCATGAGCCGAGTCATTGTGTCGCGTTACGTAGTTGCGGAAAATCCAGCGAGTGTCGACGTCGCCCTTCCGCCAATTACCGATCGGCGCGTTACCGAAAAACTGCAACCGCGTTGGCGAAAATACCGGCGCGACCCTGTTGTATTAAGCGGGAAAGTAGAGCAGCGCAACGGAAGCGTGTCGGATGTCGGGTATTCATAAGCATAGTTGCGTGGCTAATTACAAGCTACTCCTCTCTCTCTGCCTCCGGCTCGCGCCGTCAGTATGAGATTTTAACTGCAGCACAATGAAATGTTCATTACGGGAAAAATCCGCGGGAGAAGAAGGTCGTGCGGTCGAACGACGACGCTGTTTTAACTTTCACGGGGACGTGAAACATCCCCGCAACAGCTGTGTTGCGGTAAATTTACAATAACGCGATAAATAACGCCTATTTTTTCCCCTCGCGAAACGACCTTTCTTATCGCGCGATAATCTCTTAGATTCCCCGTCGCGTGCTCGCGTTATTTATATGCCCACCTACGTGAATGCACTGCCTAACGCAGCGGCGGCGAATCGATGCACGTGTCTGTTTCGCAAGCGCGCTAATAGTTTGCAGAGAACGCGGCTAACGGAGAAATATAGCGGAACTTGGCGATGGAATTAGATTAATTGTGATTTACACCGCCTGTGTACCGCGCGCCAGACCGATCATCGACGTCAAAAGTCACGACGAGGTTGGCAATGGTAGTCCGATATGGCTTTGAAATAATTCGCCGGATGAATGCGAGTACGAGTGCGATTTCCGTCGGAGTCTCGCTTCTAGCTCTCTTTCTCTCCGCTTCGGCGCTTCGGAACTGCGTTTTGCCGATACGAAACGCTCAAACAGGACTCACGAATCCTTGATATTTTTCACCCCGTAATCGTTTATCGGAGCTAAATGTCATTACAACGGACACGCACAGGCGTGCGCGCACACCCTCCGACAATATGATTGATAATTACGTGAACGAGCGGAGGTTGCGAAACGACGCAAACTTTTATCGCGAACGCCGTTCTCCCTTTGCCCCTTTGCCGTACTCCTCATCCCTAATGCAATTCCCTCGTTATCCCGTGGGTCTCTCTCTCGCGTTCCGTTCAATTCCAACGGGTTTTTTCAAATCTCCGCTAAAGACATCGACTGAGCTGGGATTGCGGCACGGATGTGGAAAAACAAATCGTGTTACGCTGATTATCTGCGTCGAGTTCCCTGGAAGCCAGAGGGAATATATCGAACGCCAATGCAACGGCGGTGGTCGAGGATACGACGATATGTGATATCGGGCGATATGCGGTGATGTGTACGCGCGGTAAAGAGAAAACGTCGACAAAAAGTCGCGGGTGCCACGGGGGGAGAGAGAGAGAGAGAGAGAGAGATGGGGAAAGAAATTAGCCTCGTCGAAAACGGCTGGGCGCCACGAGATCGCTGTTGGAAGTCGATTCGCGAGATAACGTCGGGAAATAACGAAGACGCGTTTGATCTGCTCGCGATACGTATATATTGGCAAAAAAATGAAAAACTTCACATCTCGCAAACCTCGATCACGTCTCATCCTTTCCTTATTCTCTTTTTTTCCCTCGTCTCTCTTTACCCACGGAAATATATCTGTCGCGAGTCATCCGTCCGTGAAATTCGCTTATACAGTTCGATACGAGCAAGATTTTTCAATCATTCTTAAAGACGCCTCTCGCCCGAAGTTTCCAAGTTGGCGCGTCAATTTTACTCGAGTCGCGGGAAATGTTCCGCTATTCTATTTTGGATGATAGGTCGCTAAGCCTTCTTTCCACTAACTTCGCCGCTTCCTGAGATGTTGAATCGCTTACAGATCAGTGGACTCAACGCACTCCTTTTCATCCCTTCTGGAACAGAAATTTTCAATCGCTCGATATTGCGAGTCGCTCGCCGAATCGTCGTCGTCGTCGTCGTCGTCGTCGTCGTCGTCGTCGCCGTCGTCATCTTAGTCGTCGCACCGTAGACTCGAGACACTGAATTTACGGCAACATTTTCTCAACGCAATTTATTACGTTTTATTCCGTAATTCCCGCGCGATTTTCAAGCGCGTCTACTGTTCGAGTTCAACATGGTCTCGTCGATAACGCGTCTCGACGTGCAAATGAAAACACGACGACGAGAGAAGTCCCCAGTGTTTCCTCTGTTTCCGTGTGCTCGCGGTAACTCTCTGTGCGCTTTTTAATAAGATCTAATTGCGAGGAACCCTCGCGCGTTTCCCGCCGATTATACATCCAACTAACTCGCAGCAAACATGACGAGTGTGCCCGATATATTGTATTATCCGCAAAATCCGCGAAATCGCGGTCAGCAAGTCTGTCTGGTGAGAGAGGAAGGATACGCCGCGCGACATAAGCTCGCAGGAACCGATATGCGGAATCTATTTCCGAGTCACCGCACCGAAGATTATATGGCCGGTAAGCAGGACGGCTGCCGACTCCGAAAAACTGTCGTCAAAGCGAACCTCCGCGGTATCAAGGTCTCCTTTGATCGGCGGACTGAGCGTTCGCGAATCGATTCATCCCCCTTGGTCTTCGCCCATCTTCGCCCGGCTTTATTTTTGCACATTTTTCTATTTACGCTATCGCTTGCTTTGTACTGGACAAAACAACACGGCGCGATAGAAGGAGCGCACGGAGGAACTCACCTGTTTTTCGCGACGCGCGCACGAGCGCGCGCGTTGGCGCGCGGATGTTCCTCTATCTCAATTCCCGTTTTGCTCTGTACTGGCGAGAACTAAAATCACTTTTTCTTTCTCTCTCTTTCTCCCCCCCCTCTCTCTCTCTCTCTCTTCAGGCAGCGCACTAGCTCGCGCACGTGCGCGTCAACGATGACGGGTAAAGAGGATTAAAAATGACATTTTACAGATACGTCAGAATTTTTATCGCGCACATTTTATGTAGCCCCGCGAGCGTAAAATTCAATGAAGATAACGAGAGTTATATGATGTGGCGCTCTCTATTGACGTAAAAATTAATACTCCCACCATTATCGTTTTATTTATGCGAAGGCAGAAACGCGAAAGCAGAAACGCGAAAGCAGAAATCGGGAACAACGGACGCTGGCTAAAAGATTACTTGAACGAAGAATCTCGCGGCTGGAGAGTGTATTCCGTTATTCGAAGCTTCGATTAATTGTGTCGTCCATGCGAGTGACGAAATCAAAACCTCCTTTAAATTACAAATTTAACAAATTTAACAAAACACGATGGGAGTGTTACAATAAACTTCCTGATATCTCTGCGAAGCGCGGCAATTGAGATATTGCGTGACAATCGATAGAACGAATCCAACGCAAAATACAACAATATGTGCGCGCGCTCTCTCTCTCTCTCTCTCTCTCTCTCTCTCTCGCTCTCGCTCTGAAATAATACTGACGTGTGTGAATTCGTGACAATGAAACTAATGATGATTACGATACACGGGCGACCCGTCGTCTCTCACTCTCAGCGACCGTTCGCGTAACACGTCGCCACAAGAGTGCTGAGACTACTCAACCCTCGCGCAAACTCCACCCCCTGCCCCTCTCTCTAAAAGCGGTCCATCGGAGAACCGGAGTAAGTTTACGCTTCTCCGTCAACACGGCAGGTTAGAGTTCACGGAAGCCAGATGGATGCTGCTGAAAACGGTGCTTTCAGCTTAACGCAGTCACTAAGCACAGCGCGCAGCTGTTTTAACGACCCGACCGCCCACTACTACTATATGCGCCAATCTCGCGCTGTTTAAGTCCTCGTTACCAAATATTTTGCTAGCGCTAAAGTGAAACGAGAAGATAATACTCGCGTTGTAATGAAGATGGCTCCGATTAATGATAACCACGAAATTCGCCGCAAGTAAGCGAATCCAATTTTCTGCTTTTCTCATGCTTCTACCCTCCATGGGAAAACGAGCTCTTTCAATGATACTGTTTTCAGGCGAAGTGGAGATAAGGACCACTTGCACGCGCTCATTATATATCTCTCTCTCTCTCTCTCTCTCTCTCTCTCCCCCTCTCTCTCTCTCTCTCTCTCTATAGTATAATTCCACTCCTTTCCTTAAAGTCTAAAGAGAATTTTGGCTCGTTAAGCTGTCTGTAAATACAATATATAATAATTCAACAGCACCCAGACAATTCCGTTCGACGAGAGCCATCACCGCCGCGTCAGGCTTGTCATCCTTCGAGATATTTGGTTTAACGGCAAGATATGTACACGTATCGAACGTCTTGTAGAACCACACCACGGCGCAAAGGGAATATATGAAGACCTCATCTGTCAATTACATTATTTCTCGACAAGATCCTGAAGCTTAGGTCACGAGTGACGTTGATTTATATCGTACCCGAGGAGTAGAGTATATTGTTTCCTCTCCGGCGAATCAAGATTCAACTATAAATAGATTTGCCGTCCGCATAATTTATTTCTCTTCCTCTCGCCCCTCGGAAGAAAGAGAAAGAGAAAGAAACAACAATTTTATACAATTAGATAATATTACTTGATAAATTGCGCTGCGCGTATCTCCTTGCACTCCGAAACTTCGCACGACCAACCTGCAACGTTTTTGCAGATAAATGGAATGAAGCGTTACATTTCACCCCGCGCCATCGAGCGATGTCCCAGGAAGCACCGCACAGCGTACCGCATGCAGTGAGTAAAGCACAAAGTACTCGATTAGCATTCGCTTTTACCCGGGAACGCGACGTAACATTTACGCATGGTGTATTATCTAAATTTTCGGCTCTCGGTCGCTAATGTGCGTATGTGCGAATGCGCGAATGGCCTGGGCGCATACAGATGCGTGTCTACGTGATCGAAATTTCGTACGGGACATTTATGCCCGGTAATCAATGCGAAAGCGACTAATCAGTTACCGGCTCCCCTTCCCGTTCCCCTCCCTGCTCTCCCTCCACGCTCCGCCGAGCCGCCAGCGCCGCGCGAACGCAACGCGCAAATTATCGTTCGGAGTGACGCAAATTGCCGCGGCTGCGGAAGCGCCGAATAAAAATGTGTCGTACGAACGGCGGGATAATAAAGAAGGGCGCGCGACTGTAACTTCGTTACATCGGCAAATCCTATTAAAATTCACGATGCGGAACTAGCACATTATGACTTGCAAATGCGCAAAATACGAGCGCGCGCAGATGGAAATAAATGTATTCGGATGTCGGCGCTTCGCGTTTTTCGCGCGCGTGCGCGCGCGTACTCGCGTCATCCGCGATGCGTAACCGTCCGCGCCGTCGAGTCAAGTCGGACCGAGCGCAAATGGACGATCGTCAATCGCAATTAATCGAAACCGTCCTCACGCCGTAATCAGTCGCGACCGAAGCTGACGCGCGCACGTCGTTATCCAAATTGTTGACTTTATTAACGCATCGTGTACTTACAACGTTAATGTAAACACGCGACGGGGGAACATTCGTGCGTCTACGCGACGTGCACACGTGCGCACGCGCGCGCGCGCGCGTGTGTGTGTGTGTGTACATACGCCTGTACATAAATATTTACAAGCGTGTTCGCAGTCATTCCGTGTTCACGTATCTATACATCGCGATGCTTATTCGCGGGCGACGCTTGATTGATTACACCTGAGCCTGCCGCTAATTATTCAACGTAACATTTCGATTATCGCACGCAACAACGGTTAACTACACCGATGTTTCAGCCGATTCATATCGGTCCACTTAGATTAATGCGCGAGGGGAGCGCGGCAACAACGCGGCGCTACGGGAGGTACTGTGATTAATCGCCGTGTGATAATTGCATTCTTCTTCTGCAATTTTAATATCGTTTAATATCGCTTAATACCACAAGAAACGTATAGAATTACCATCGCCGATAATGCATGCGATAGTGGTCGCAATATCGCGGAACGCCCAGTCATTTCTTTTCCTTCTTTTTATCTCCTTTCCTCATTTCCCCCTCCTCACGCCCCCACCTGGCCAACACCTATATGTCTTTGCTCTTTTTACTTTCGGCAAAATTGTCGCGCGATTAAGGAGTCTGTCTGAAACGACCGTGGAGAGCGATTAAGTTAATTGTGGGCGCTGCTATTAATGCATACGCGTGTATATATAGATATATATGTATGTATGCGCGCGCGTGTGTGTGTGTGTGTGTACGTGTACAAACGTGTTTATATATATTCAATAACGCTGAATACACATACACTGCACGTGTGCACACGCGCGCCATCATCCGCGGCGAGGAGGATCCGTGTGCCGGCACGGCGTCGATAATTTCAACGTTATCACGGTGTATCAATCAGCGCAGAACGAACTACGTAAAATAATCACGATCCGGTAATGCGACTCAATTAGGACGCGGCTCGTCACGTCGCGCCGCATTTTACTGCGTCGTCCGCTTACACGGAAGCGCGTGACAACGCGCGGTCCACGCGGCTGTCTGGACTGTAACAATCGATCCGTATGTACAACCGCGAGCCGCTTGTTATTAACTTAATATTAAGTTGAAAACGGCCCGCGATTTACCGCGCCGCGCCGCTATTAACCGCGACTAATCGCAGGCCGGGCGCGATTCGCGGCGCGAATCGAAAATTCCTCCTGCAATCGACCGCGACGATTATCCGACCATTACCTTAATTGCAGGCGCCCGCTAATGCGCGTAGCCACGCGCGTATAGTTATTCGAATGACCAACGTTTCGCGCCGCACCGGGTCGCACGGATACTGTATCCGGTATCGGTCTTGCGCATCGGCCGGTTGTACGGGGCTTGCCGTTCCCCGTGGGAGACGTAGCTCTCTCACGAGTGTCATGTCGAATTGCCTCGGCCCAAGCGAGCTAAACGAGCAGAGGTCCGAGTAGCGACGGAACGTCTCTCCTCCCCTCCTCCCTTTTCTCTCTCTCTCTCTCTCTGTCTCCCTTTATACGAATGCGATTGCGTGGAGGAAAGGGGACGGGAGTCTTGTATGTAATCCGCAAATAGGATTCGTACAGCAGCCCGGCCCCAAATCCCGAGCGCTCAAAATGCGAGCTGCGTAAGCGGGATGATACTCGCTCATCCTAAACCCGGTCGAGGATTCCGATGACATAAGAGAGGCATGTTCGATCCGTACCTCGTGGTGCGAGCACACGCTCGACGACGAAGCTCGCGTCTAAGCCGGTTAAGAGCGCACCGCGACGCAAATGTCTTTCGCTGATACGAGCGCGGCTACCCGCGTTGATATTTAAATCTAGGAATGGAGATAGCTGACCTCGAGACAACGTCGTGGGACTAGACACCGAAACGTTCGCTTATTTATTCATTTATTCATTCGCTGTTATGTGCGATACGTCTAGCGCGTTTCCCGAGCAGGGTGTTAAAGGGTGAACGCGGAGACAAGTGATTCTCGGGATTATCGTTACGTTGATCTCGACGTCGACGTATTATTCATTCGAGCGACACGCGCGAGCGACGCTCGGGAATCCGGGCAATTTTGCGAAATAAGCTGCAGAAAGCGAGCTGGAAAAAGCGAGCTGTATAGGCGACGGCCTGGCGCGCTCCGACTAATAATAATTGACAGCCGCGCTAGATCAGGATGTGAATCCGCGCCAAGTCGTCTCTCTCGTGTAAACGGTAACCAGGCTCGATCAGAATTTCCAGAAGGGTTATCCGCGAGCATGCCCGACTCGTGGAAAGGCATCTAACGGAATATGGTCGCGGCTTGCGCGTAAATTATGCACTGGGTCGCATACTATGCGTCGCGTTGCCCGTCCATTATCGAGAGAGCGCGCGCGACAACGATCTACACGATGAGATGCCAAGGCGTGCAATAATATCGCTGATAACCGCCGTCATCCCGCCGACACCGAAACCATCTTTCCCCTGTTCCCCCTTTCCCTGCTCAGCTGCGCCGTTATCGACAGCGCGACGTGACGCTCGAGCGTGCTGAGAAAGGACCGCGCCCGAGAAATAAGGATTATTTCGAGCAAACAAAACGGATCAGCCGAGCGGGGTCTCGCCTCGCCTAGGAAGAAAGCGTTTCCGCGAGGTCGCCGGATGATTCGAACGGCGCTCGCGCGGAAATGTAATTCCGAGATCACCTCGGCAACCCGAACAGCGAATCGGGGATGATTTATGACGACCCGCCGCGGTTAATTGATACACCGTACATTTAATCTTAATGGATTACCGGAACAAATACGCGCGCGGTCTGTCAGTTTTCTCGCGTGATTCCGTCAGGAATCAGGTCGTGTCTGCTCGGCTCGCAAAACTTTCCCGGATCCGCAGGATCCAGCGAGGCGCGCGCGCGTAAAAACGTTAATCTTCTACGATTAATTTGTCGTAACGTTCTTCTCGCGACATTTCCGCCGCCGCTATCTCCTCTACATCTCTTTGTACTTCACCTAATTACCTCTTGTCCCACTTTCGCGTTTTTGTTTATCAATCTGGAATCTTTCTTCATGGTACTCTACTCGTATACCTTTTATTTTTTATTATAACCTTTTATTTCAAATTATATAGCAGCTTCCAGCTGCCATTTCTGCTGCTTTTTTATCATCATATCGTTGAAATGTTTAATACAACAAAATTTATAAAAATTATGCCATAAAATTGTACGATGAATACTCGTTGGAGTGATAATTTCAATAGCAACGTCTGCGTGAAGGCAGCGCGCTTGCGAATTCCCCGTAAAAATTGAAGAGAGACGCGACCATCTTTCCTGCCACGTTGATTGCCATTTTGACGATATCATCGAACGATGCCGATTGCCATCGGCGTTTAAAGTAGCCTATTGTGCGCGCGCGCGGCGCAGCCCGCCTCTTATTAAACAATGCCATCAAGGCATGATATAATACCCGCATGTTTTCGAAGCGGCGTCACGCGAACGGCAGAAAGAAACGCGAGCGCGTACGCTGATTAAAATAAGTGCGCTCTCATAGAACTGCGATGACAAAAGAATCGAATCGACGATGGGCGACGGTGAGTGCACGAGTTATCGCAGTACGGTGGATAACGACAAATAACGCCGATCTCGTTAATCCGTGTCATCGTTAACTCTCGCCACAGTGACGTCGTTGTCGTCGTTGTTGTTGTTGTAACAACGCCGTCGCCACCGACGGCGGGAATAGAGAAGAGATAATCGTTAAATTAATAATCGCGCGCGGCCGTATGTCGAGAACACATATGACGCAGGAGACTACAAAGTATTGTTCTCCCTTTCCCTCCCCGCCTTTTTCTCTCTGCCTCCGTGCAACGCGCGCGCACGCGAACAAATTATCCATAAAAGATCCGTACGGAGGACGCGAAGGACGACGCGACTTAAGAGCCCGCATATATTTACACGGGTTTTATGCGGTGAACTATAAATTGGAATTAACCGGAGCAGCATGCAGGCGAGCGAGTTTGGACGCTTTCCAACTGAGCGTCGCATTATTGACGCTGCGGATCGGGTAAAATGCGGGATACGGAAAAGTGCGGTTGCGCGCTGCGTACGGCAACGGCAACGGCGGCGGCGGTGGCGATGGCGCCGGTAATAACGACGACGACGCGCGGGACAAAATCAAAATTGACCGTCAAAGACAAATAGATGAAAAAAAGAGGAAGCCAGAGGAAGAGCGGGAGAGAGAGAGAGAGAGAGAGAGGGAAAGAGGCAAGGAAAGAGGAGAGACGGGCAATGTACGCTACTCTAGCCGGTGTGTCCGCAGGTG